CGTCTGTGATTTCTATTTGGGTGTTCACTTTATGAAAACCGAAAATGGAACACGTAACGAAATTATGAAATATTTTGAACGTTAATAACTCAGCTGCCCCTGAACCAATTTCAATAATTTTAACACCAGTCGATCAGAAATATTTCTACGCATCAATTTCGAAAACTATTGAAAAAGGGTAAATGTCAAGCATTGTCAGGGCATCGGTAGTAGACGAAACAAGGGGCATTCGCCTCCGATCTTCAAGTGTTTGCGAATAGGGAAGATGTAATTGCGTAATAATTTGCACAATCATCGCCATATTCAGAACCACACGTCCCCAACGACTACACAAAATGCTCTTGAGAGTTGTAATCTTATAACCAAACTTGGAAGCGGGGATTTAAGTGATTTTGATAGATTTTCTTCACCGACATTCTGTTTCGTTAACATATAACTCGACGGCAAACACATTCATTGATACGTTTGTTGTTCTGGATGATAGAAGAGCATAATAGAAATAGTGCAAAATAGGTAAGTGAAGCCAGCCATGGTGTTCATATGAGAGAATCGATGAAGAAAATTGACTTTCACCCCTCTGCTTCTAAGTCCGTTAATTCAGTCGTCGTCATAGCAATGAAATGGGTTACAGTTGCTGGTTGCAATTCTGCTGTTCGACATTTTTGAAGGACCACAAAAAAACATTAAATTAAACTATTTTCTAGGGATGCCTAAAAGTTCAATTCTTCGATTAACGATTAATCATAAAGATTTTTCCAGTTATTCGATTAAATATTTATCGAATTTTTAATTTTTCGAGCGCGTAACCGACATCATTTCTTATTTCTACTCGTTTGATTTAGCGCAGTAGAGAACATAAATAAAAGTACTAATTTATCTGATCAGGCATATAGAAGTTCCATGACGTGAAACAGGATTATAAATTCGCCGAAAATTAAGCGTCTTTCTGCTAAAGGCTAAGATTTACCAATTTGTTGAGAGGAAGAGTTTAACGAGAAAAGGAAGTTGGAGGTTGTATCCAAGACACGACCGCAGATTTGATAGGTAGTTATGATGTCACAGCAAAAGTAAAGTAAATATTAAATTGATTTCTTAACTCGTTGTCAGTGAAAAATTTCAATAGGTTGAAATTCGGAAGCAATTTGAGAGTTTTGCCCATGTAGCACAAGCTACTCTTTAGTTAACTCTTTTATTAGTCATTTGTGGTCCTGAAAAGGACCGCTGGGTTGGAAGCTTGGATGCTAGTTAAGAACAATACTGTGGAAATTTTTCCTCGATGTTTTTGGAAATGATAGCGGTGCGGAAATTAAATATGTACTAGGGAAAACACATCAATCTCAGAATTTGAGCCTACCGGACGGTACCTACGTTTGATGCAAATTTTAGTCCCCTTCTATTAAGAGAATTTGGCAAGGTTTTTTTTTTTGGGCATAATGCTCTTAATAGGAGGAGCTTAAAATTTGCACCAAAAGGCTTAAAGATCGGTACCATCTGGCATGTTCAGTGCTTGGTATCAATATTTGGCGACTGTGTTAGGGAAACCACTTTTTCCCATCACGGAAATGCCTCGTTTTCTGATGAAAAAAAAAACGAATTTACGTGCACAACGCATGGAATTTTTGTTTTATTCAATAGATAAAAAAAGCGAATAGGGTAGAGCGCTACTTCGTCGTAATCGCCCATTTCCGTTCTATCGATCAGAAAAGATCAATAATATCAATGATTTCACCGTGCACAAATCAATAATAGGTTTGTTCCGATGCGTTAGTTCATTAGCTACAACATAAAACTTGTTAGATCGCATTGTATGAATATTTACGCTCATTGTTCTCAAAACAAAAGAAGCGCTCCTTGCGAATCCCCTTTTTCTACGTTTATCCGTAGGACGAAGAAAATCTAATGGCGTTTCAATGCGTTAGGACGGAATTGAAACTCGTAGAACGAATTTAAAATCAAGAAGCAGTACTATATTTTAAACAATATCTCAACAATTTGTGACTCTTTATCAAATCTAACGGTACGTATGGAAAGTTGAATACATTTACACGTCATTTTTAACAGAATTGTTCATTTTTTTGTTTAAACTAGTTCAGCAAAGATAGGTAAAGCGCAGATTGTGCTTAGTAGGACAGAAATTAGATCAAAAACCCTATTGATTGGAGGAATTTCTTGCTTAAATTTTTCCAATCGCGATCAATCATATAAATTCGAGATTTCTTTGCTTTTTCTAGCGTCCTGGAGAAACGAAGTGTCTCTGGTTTATTGACATGGCCATGTGGTATTCGGTTATTGCGAGAATTTGTATGTACCACTTCAATACTGTTGCGCATTTGACGACAAACGTTTGGTTGCTGGGTACATTATCAAAGAGCTTTGGGGGTGATGTGGCTGGCAAAAAGGCGAGACTGAATTCTAAAACAACAATAATTTATGGTGATCCTAAAAAGGACCGTTTTGTCGTAATGGCTGAGTAATGCTGAGCTATAAGGGTGTTCAACGCGGATGATGCTGGCGAGCTGTATGTTGTTTGGAGCAAAACTGTTTCCGATCCATAGCGGTGTGGCTTCTTTCTCCTTTTATGGATGCTGATGTGGGCTCTGCAGCTAGCTGCTTGCAGTGTACTGGAGAACAATGTTCAACGCCACACGCCGAAAGCACTGCTGCTGCTAACACCGACGAATGGACACCACCACCTACGGTGATTGAATGAGCACCGTTCAGTGAGAGAGAATTAAATTCAATTTTTAAATCTGTGTTAGGGAAAGCGCTTTTTGCAGGCAATCGGTTATAATTTTTATCCCCATTGCAACAGTTGGACATTTGTGTATTTTTCAAAATTGATATTGAAAATTAATAAAGTGTTCATTTTAGCAGATTGGTAGATAAATTTCCAATCGTTCGACTTGACCTCTTTTCGTAATGCGGTCAATTTTGTTTTTTTTTTTTTTAATTGCACCCCCAATCGTTGCCGAGAGACGTGATCCTACGTCAACACAAAAAAGGGGAGGAGCATTAGCTGGGTGGACACTGGGATTGTCCGGTCCGATTTGCTGATCCAGCTGCCTACACGTCATCATCATCTTTCAAAGGCTTTAAGCCTGTACTACCATCGGCCCTTTTCAGGGCCACCAAGATTTTCCAAAAGAGTTCAATTTCTGAAAATGTCCCAACTAAAATTCATATCAAAAAGTTCTTATCAGGGCAAACATAGTCATACTAAAGAGTATAAACAGAATGAACCCCGCTCAAATTCCTATTCCTACACAAAACACAAACTCCTGCTGCAGCTAACAAATAACATTTATTATATAAGGCAACGTAGTCCTACGTCACCATTGCGTGTAACCCCATAGGGCTTTCCCTTGTAGTTTTTTGTGAAGAAAGCTGAAGTTATTTCCAAAAATTTGGTGAAATTTGTTTGCCGGTAATTTGTTTTAATGTTTTTTTTTTCTACTTTTTTAATTATTGTTGAACTTTAGAACATAATTAAATTGCACATTTTTTTAGTAAAATACATCCACCGCGTCATTTTTAACAGTCTAATGTAATTTCTCCCAAAAACGGCCAAATAAATACGGGCATAATGGGGTATTTACACTTATGCTAGCTCAACCAGCTCATCCAACTAGCACGAATCTCAGTTGTTCCTGAAATCTCTAATATTATGGCTCACAGTGGGAACAATATTGAATAAATGATCCGTCTGGTATTCGGTGCATTACGGTATACCTGTATTACATATTTGAACCCACACCAACTTCCCTCAATCGAAACCTGCACTGTAATGAAAATTACATGAAAATTGCAGCAGCCACTGGCACAGTTTCCTAAATCCGTTTGCCAAAACAGCACCAGCTCAGGGGGATTCAATTAGCCTCGATGACTGCAAATGAAATCATCGATTGATCAATTACAACCCAATTAAGCAGACTATCGGATCTGTTCGAACATAATCGGCAGACAAATGTGTCGTACAGATGAGTCTGATTGACCAAATGGATTGCTCTCCTCCCTTCCCCTCCCACACCGACACACACTCATCGTTTCCATCCATCCATTGCTCAGAGCGACTCATACCCATAGCAAATCCATTTACTGTTTATGCGATTGTTGTTTCGGTAGTTCATCAAAGTTGAAAGTCCGGCTATCCAAACTGACAGACACGACACCGAGACACCACCACCACCACCACCACCATCAGACCAGGAATGGATGTGACGTGCCATTTCGGAAATTACCGAGAGGCAAATGAACTCCGGACAATTGCCCGGCTTGTGCTGTCGCTCTAATTGAACTATCAATTGAGAAGCCCGACGTCGGCGTCGTCGTCGTCGTCGCTCTCAGTTGAGTTAACTCTGGGCATTGATTTTCCGACCGGTTCAGCTTTAATCCTTGCTCGCACTGAGGCTGCTCTTGAACCACATAATTCCTTATGATGTTAACCCCGCAGCAGCGAGATGGCACAGTGGCAGCGATTCCAAAGTTGGAAAGAAGTAATAAACAACACCTGAGTAATTTATGACGTTGGCGTGACATAAAACTTTGTCTATGATTCTTCTCGTTTCGTTACTGTCGGTCTGAATGAATGTGTGTTTTCCCTTGTTCTTTGATTTTTTTTCCTTTTGTTTTTCTAGCTTCGGGGATTTTATGTTCTTCACATCGTTGTCGAAAAAACTTTTTTTTTCTGTTTCGATGCTAAACTAATCATAAAACAATTTCGTGCTCAAAATGCTTTATTATGAGTTTTACTTGGTCCTGTTTTATTCATCATAATTAACGATGGTGGAATTATTGGGGACGCAAATGGGAGAGAATGGATTTTGTTTTGCTCGAAGTCAAAGGAATGCTATTATGGACTGGGAGGGCAAATTATGCCGATTAATTGAGTTTGACTGCCATTTGGAATGGGGATCGTGCAAGGGACTCTTTTGAGTTCAGTCGGGAATATTGATGTTTGGAATGTGAATTTAAGTGTCCCATTTTTTTCCTTCTCTTTCCAGACCACCACCTCCGACAAAGCCAAACGGACATGGGGCCAACGTCTTAAGCTTACGAAGCCATCCACCGACAAGTTCAGCAGCAGCTCTGCCTCAACCATCAGCGGCGCCAGCTCGTCCAATCTCGCACCAACCAACGCCAGCTCGAAACCTTCAAATCAGTCTTCCTCCTCGTCGTCATCGTCCTCCTCGACCGTGACCATCGAGGTGCTGGACTATTCCAGCCTTCAGCAGCAGCACGTCCAACAGTCGCGCTATCACACCACCAATGCGCCCAGTTCCCTCGGTCTGGCAACCCACTCGATGAAGTATGCCGAATCGACCTGGATGTACGGCACGATGCGTGGCATGCCTCCACCGATGCCCCATCCTGGACATCCCCTGCACCACTCGCTTCCGCATCAGCACCCGGGGGCCATGCTTCACCATCCGGCCATGTTTTGTCCGATGCCTGGGCTGGGACCGGAGGTAGCAGTCGTCATCTGCTGCTGTCCGGAGTACCTGAATGGCACCAAGCGGGACGTGAAGAAGGCAAGCGTCTGTAAGAAATGCAAAGGGTCGAGACTGCCGTTGGCTCCGATCGGGGGCACTATGAGGCTGACGTCTGGTGCGACGTTCCTGGCACCTCCAGCCAGAGGAACCGCTGGGACGATGAAACTGGCGTCCACCTATGGAAAGAAGGCAAGGCCTTCGATATTGGGCAGCGGAGGAGATCCGTATGATTTTATGCGAAGGTCGAGACTGAGTCAACCGGAGCAAGCAAGCAAGTCTGTGAAGAGTAGCATTAAGGAAAAGCTAAGGGGACGGGCGAAGAGCACCAGTCCTTCGAAGGGGAGAAGCAGAGCCGACAAAAGGGCTGTGTCTCCGACCGGGAGCAAGAGCAGTGGCAGTCGAAGCCTGAGTGCAAATCGCGGCAGTGCTAGTAACAAAGGATTCAAGGACTGCTGGGTGGAACCGGAGGAGATTCCCCCGATGATTGAAATGCAGGAAGCAGGAGCCGCCCGAAGGTCAATCCTGCGATGTGATATTAATCCATATGACTTGATTTCGCTGAGCAGCGGGCTGAACAATGAGTTCTCGCCAACCAGCGGGACGGAGGATTATGACCTGTCGGTTCATTCGCAAAAGTATGAGAATCTACTGGATACCTTGTATGCCAATCGGTACAATCCGGCCATCAACAACATTGCGGCAATATCGGGCCAAAGAATCAAACTGTTCGACGGGGATGCGGGGCCATCCGTCTACGATGACGTCGATGAGTACGTGTACGATCCGGTGGAGGTTCAACCGGATCCCAACCAAGAAAACCGCGTGGAAATCATCCCGGAGCGGCCACCTCGAACCAAACACAAACACGACCCATCGTCGCCGTCTTCGAGCAAAGACGAAGACCTCAAGTCCCTGCCCTCTCAGATCTCGTCCGATGTGACTCAAAGTGCAATAAAATCGATCCTGAAGCGACCTGGGTCAGTCGTCAGTGCCCCAACGGGTCCTCCAGACAAACCCAGCTACGATACGATACGGCTCAACCAGACGCTGGTCCAACGCCTGACCAAACTGACCTCGGACGAGAGCGTATTCGCCAAGACCAGCTCCGTTAGTGCCAGAAATTCAAAGACTCCGTCCGGTAAGGACAAGGATAGCAAGCGCAACTCCGCTTCCCAGTTCTACTTGCCAAGTCCGTTGAACGGAGCGGGGGCGGTGGCTGCCGGTGCGCTGGGATCCCGCAAGAAGGTCCATTTTTTAGTCGAGAATGAAGTCATCGATGACGACAAGTTTTTCGCGCAACTGTTGCTGTCGGAGACCAACGGTCACACGAGAGCACTGATCGAGCCGAACAAATCGACGGTGACGATTGTGGAAGTTACGCCGGAGAAGACCACGGAGGAGGGCAGCACGGCAGTCGTTGCGACGGCGAGGGATCAAACGAGTGAATCTGTGATCAAGAGCTTGGTGAATCATCTGGACAGTTTACGCCATCAGCAGCGACATCACGTGGTGGAAGAGCAGCAGAAGGAAGATAAAACCGAAACTGAGGACAGTGGGAAAAACGAAACGACCAACGGGGACGTGACCAAGGATGACAAAGCTCCAGCCGTTAATGGAGCTGTTAATGGCGTCAACGGATCCAGTTCCGACGGAGGTAAGCAACATCGTAAATGTATTATTCATAAACGAGAAACCCATTTTTTTCGGAACGATTATAACTAAATCGAATTTTGGCGCGATACGCTTCACGGAGCCCCACCAGGGGGAAGGTCGTTCCCGAGTAGCAGCGAAAATCGATTCGTGTGCTAACGAGCTCGCATAAAATTCTAATTTACTAGCCGTACGCGTCTAATGACGGGCAAAAACAATCTCCTTGCCACCCGCGTTTGATGGCGAAAGTTGGGGCCAATCCACGCCAAGTCGCACCCCTTATTAGCACAGCAGTTCATCTGGTGTTTATTGACGCTCTCAAAAGTAGGTACTTATTCCGCCGTTGTTTGCTCCATCCTATTTGACACGGTACGTTTCGGAACTTGGGCACTTCTTCCCGCCCTGGAGGTAAAGCAACAAAGCTTATACCCCACCAAACGAGCTTAACAAGTTGCGGAAATATGGCTGACCGGAAACCGGGTAATACCCAGTTGCATTTGCGACGAGCACGAAACTCACGCGAATGTCTGTGTCGTCCGGTGGATGGTGGTGCATGATTGTCGGTGCGGAATGGCATGTGGCACTTTTGAAGAAAGCAACAATCAAATCAAACGGCACTGGTGAATTATGTGTTTGGTGAAACGGGGGAGAGATTGGTAGGTACGTGTTTGCAAATTGAAATCGAATAGAGTCATTTGGAGCTACCCTACAGTCCATTCTTTCTAACTCGTTATTGAATGGAGCATCGAGTTGGGGAGGATGACGAAAAATGCTGTAGATTCGTTTCAGCATGCCACAGAAAAATAAAGAACAGATCAATTCCAGGCTAAATAGGATAAACGATAAACAAATAAAAAATTAAGACTCGACCTTCTCCGATTTGCATGAAGCTTTGCACATTTTTGCAAAAATTCGGCCACTTTGAATATTGTATTTTTTTTCAAAATGGCGTCTTGTCATTTTTCAGTAAATTATATCGAAATAACGTCTGAGACAAAGTGTTCGTAGAATGATGCAAAATAGAAAATTGAGACTTTTCACGCTTGGTTTCCAATATGTATAAGCACAGACAAACAGATATAACACATTGAATATTTTTCACTGTAAAACATCGTCGCTAAAACATTACCGCCATCTGTTGAATACACTGTGGTGGGTAGTACGCTGAACAGATGGCGCTAGTGTGTAAACGTCAAACGCAAGGGAATTGAGTATGCGCGCCACAGGTGGCGGTGCTACCAACTACGATACTTTTAAATGGACCGTTAAATGCTTGTTCGATGAAAAACTTGCGAATGTTATGTCTGTTTGTCTGTGGTATAAGCATCTAGTTATTGAATTTCAAAGTCAGAACCTAAAGCTCGTATACAGGTTTTCAACCTATTCAATGTTTTGATAGTAAGCATCATAGTTAAGGTACACCGGGGCAAGTTGAAACTGTACGTGTGTCTCTTAGCGGAAGTGAATATTCACTGTAATTAGTCCTTCCTTTTTCAGGTTTTCGTTTCGGGGAGGGGAAGGGGGTATTTTTCATAAATAAATTGCGTTTAACTGCGTTTCGTATTAGGGGCTGTTCATTAACTACGTAGACAATTTTTTGGGATTCATACCACCTCCCTCCCTCCCCTGCAGACAATTGTCCATACCTTTTTTTCTCGACTTTGTATGGACCGTGGATAGTTGCCAACCCCCTCCCCTCCTTCTAAACTGTCTACGTAGCTAATGAACAGTCACTTAGTTGAACGGGACCCAAGTCTCCGCACGACAGCAGCGCTGTTGTATATCATTTCAGAACGATGTGCAACCAAGTGGTACTCGATTATGACGACTGAGTTTGAGAAAAACATTTATTTCATGAAAACACTGATAAAATTACCATTTGTACATTTTTCAAAAGTTTTGTTCCGGAAAATTGGAAAAAAATATTTATTTCAGCAGATTTGTAATGTAATATTCCATAGATTGGCGTACTTACATTTTAATTTCATCTATAAATGAAAAAGTTACAAGCGTTCAAAACCTAACACTATTTCACCACACAAATTTTTTGATTTGCACGTCCAAAAATATTCATCGCTTTTTGAGATAATTGAGCTTTAAACGCTTTTTTGGAATTTTCACTCAAAATTTGCTTAAAATTATTTGTCTGAACAACTTTGTCTCAGACATCATTTCGATCAGAAGTGACGTTTCCATGCTACAATAAATCGGAAAATTACAACGACGCCATTTTGAAAAAAAAATAACAAGTTCCAATATGGCCAAACTTTTTGTAAAAAATTGAATTAATGCCCATAGCACACAATTATGCAAATCGGAAAAGGTCGAGTTTTTCCGATTTATCATTAGGCGTGGAGCTACGCAAAGTTTTCAAGCATGACAATCATCATTTGAAAAAATGTCATTACCCTGACAATGGTTTTTCCTGATTTTCTTTGCAATTTCCTTCGTCCTTGAATATTTTCGTGGAAAACAATTTGTAGACTTTATTTTTTATGGATTCCTCAGAAATGTGAGGAGTCACTTCACAAAGTACTCAATAACTTCAGGAAAGATCAAAAACATTTCAGAAACATTCGAAATCACTTTGGAAAGTTATTGCGGAAAGTTCACTTCGGAAATAATTGCATCGCTTCGGAAAATATTGAATAACTTCAGGAATGTTCGGAATCACTTTGGAAGTACTGAATCACTTCATAAAAGTTCATGGTCACTTTTGAAAGTACTGAATCATTTCAGAAAGTACTGACCCACGTCAAAAAAAATTGGGATTCTATTAAAAAAGTTGATTTGATTGATTTATTTATTTATTTACTATAGAGACTTTCAATCAAATCATTTTTTTTAGGTAATCCCAATTTTTCTGAAGTGGGTCAGTATTTTCTGAAAAAGAAGAAAGTTTGAAATAACTTCAGGAAGTACTGAATCTTAAACTTAATCACTTCAGAAAAGTTAAGAATCTCTTCGGAATCACACTTGAATCACTTCAGGCACTTTTGGATTCACTTTAGAAAGTACTGAATCATCCCAGAAAGTTTGTAATCATTTTCGCAAGAGCAGCATCATTTCGAAAACAACCGAATCAGTTAGAAATGCACTGAATCACTTCAGAAATGTTCGGAATCACTTCGGAAGTACTGAATCATTTCAGAAAGTACTGATCGACTTCCGAAAATTTCGGAATCACATCAGAAATGTTTGGAATCACTTTGGAAAGTACTGAATCATCTCACAAAGTTTGTAATCACTTCCGCAAGTACTGAATTACTTCGGAAAGAACTGATTCACTTTTGAAAAGTATGAAATCACTTATGAAAGTACAGAACCACTTCAGAAACACTCGGAAATTCTTCGGATAGTATTGAATTACTTAAGAAAATTTCCAAGGGGTGGTCACTCAACACACTTGTTTTGCGCCAATTTATTTTTTCAGTGTACCTCAGTGTGCCGCAGCTGGCACTGGCAAACTGACTTTTGTTTACATGTGAATAATGAATTGTTTGGCAACTCGGTATTTTAACCATTCTTTGTTTTGTTTTTCGAAACCTGAGAACTCAATTGACGACGACGATTTTGGGCGGCCGGAGCCGGAAAGCGACAGCGGTCTAGAAAGTGGTGGACGCTTTTTGCTAGTGACGACTGTCGGATCTTCGGAATCGAAAGGCGCTAAGCGCAAAGCCATTCCAAGCGACGAACATACGAAGAACACCAACGGAAGATCAAAGCCATGAAGCAGCTGTACAAACCGCCGACGGTAGAGGAAATCAATCGATTGAAGAAAACGGAATATTTCTACCACTTGAATTTGTTCCGGCTGCAGGTGGAAGAGATGCTAAGCGAGGTGAAGGTGAAATTCAAGGCGTTAAATTATATTGAGCGTTGGTTGGGTGATTGCCGGAAGTTTTTGAGGACGGTAAAATATGCACGATCTCTGAAGGATGTGGCTTATGAAGGGGTTGGTTTTACGCTGGCATTTGCCGGCGGGTCGCATGTTCTCGCCAAGAAAAGCTTCAAATTCGTTCAGCAACGGATCGTGTACCATATTGGATCCAGTCGTTTGGGAACATCTTATGGCAAGCCACTGAAAGTAGATTTACTGCTGGAGATTCCGGGCAAGTGTTTCCGGAAGAAAGATTACCTTAACTCACAGTATTCTTTGGCCAATGGGATGCGCTTCATTCCGCTTAAAGGGGACTTTCGGTGAAAAATTTGCTAATCGCGTTGTGTTTGTGGTGCACGCTGTTGCAATTTATTTGTAATATAATTAATTTAACAGTGTTAATGTTTAATATAACCAGATTTTATTTCAGCAATAATTAACAGTAGCATATGGTACCATAATGAAAACGACCATTTTAACCTTGTTGCGAGACAGACAGCAAACGGTGTTGTTGCAATCCCCGCGACGTCAGCGGAGCAAACCCGGTCAAGAAAAAATGCCATTAACTGACCCGGGAAGCGCAAACATTTGGTAACGCCAGATATCGTAACCGAGACTAGATGATTCAGTAGCGTGCCCATTAGACTGATGCAAAATTTGAATTTTTCGCTCCACAGTGCCTAAATGGTTTCAAATTGGGTCCTGATTAGCCTCCCAAAGTTACAACTCATTTGGTTAGAAACAGACTTCCCACAAGCCATTTGACGTTTACATGTAAATTACTATGGGAAATCTCAACTTTTTGTTCACTGGCTTCTAGTCTTTTTTTATATTTAGCTGCAAAACAGTTCGATAGCCATTCTTATAGAAAATTTTGTCAGCTACAACTTTATTAATCATTTAAGGGATTGGTAAACTTATGACAAGATCAAGCAGCTGCTCTGTAGGCAACACTGTATTTTGCCATGATATTTGTGTCCTATTCAACGCCCTAGAAACACCAATGTTGCCTGCTGAGCAGTTGATTGAGCATGATCATAAGACATCAGCGCATTGAACCATTGATAACTTTCGATTCTTTGCATTTAATCAAAAAGTGGTCTCCAGCAAAGTTGTAGCTGGGA